AGGCATTTTATTGATTTTTTTTTTTTTTTTTTTTTTTTTACAGAGAAGAAGGGAGAGGGATAGAGAGTTAGAAACATCAATCAGCTGCCTCCTGCACACCACAAGTGCATGTCCTTTGACTGAAATCGAACCTGGGACCCTTTAGTCTGCAGGCTGATGCTCTATCCACTGAAATCGAACCTGAGACCCTTTAGTCTGCAGGCTGATGCTCTATCCACTGAGCAAAACCGGGTTAGGGCTATGCTGAGAATTTTCATAAGATGCCCGAGTTCAAAGCATTCCAACCTTTTTACATCAAGATGTTATTGTTACTATTTTATACTTGTAAAAATTGAGGTTCAGAGGCACTTCGTCCAAAAATCTTAACCTGCCAAGTCCAATCTGATCCTTTATGCACAAACCACACTTCAAGGAATATTTAACAAGCCCCACCCAACTTTACCTATAGAGAAACAATTTAAGACTGCTTAGTTTATAACCAAAAGATATAATAGTTCCATGCACTGATTCATTCAAAAGCTTATTATTTCTGCTCTGATAATGTCCCTTAGGCTCTTTCTGATACTGGCCTTCCACTTTTCAGAGACCACTACTCTTTACAGAGAATGACCAACACTTATTATGGTTTACAGAACAGGATGCTTTAGAAAGTAGCTACTAGTCTTTCACATTAATGTCATTATCTCTCTCTCTCTTCCACTCCCTCCCTCCATTCCATTCTCTCTAAAAAAAAAAATCAATGAAAAAAGTATATTCAGGTGAGGATTAACAACAATAACAAAACAATAGTTGGTGTTTGGAGGTTATTTTTATAATCTAGTATAAAAATCAAATACTGTCAATCAATGCATGATTTTCTTTTTACATGTAGTTTATATACCTGTGGACCATCAATAGTAACCCTTTACTCTCAGCCCTAAAAAAAAAAAAAAAAAAATCAGGAAAGTAAATTTGCTACTGGAAAAGAAAACCCATAGGTTTCAAAATAAAATTACTTCTATATTTTCTTTTTATTGAATTATCTATAGCACTGTTCATCAGCCCTCCTTCATTAACTCTGATAATCAGAAGTTTACCCAATAGTGAAATTTCTTTTAACTATAGAGCCATGATTTACTCATATCACAAGAGGACAAATGGAGGAAACCACCACATACACACTCTCTCTTTTAAAGCAACTTCTAATACAAAAGCATGACATGCAGAAATATTTTAATTTTGAAATAAATGTCAAAGCCATTTCAACAAATGCTAAATGCAAACTGTTTTGCTGCAAAATAGTTTACTAAATTCTGGCACACTATATTCTATAACCTAAAAACATACGTATCTGCTCCACTGGACACATTGTTGGAATCTGAGGATACTAAATAGTCAATTAATTTGTAAGCCATACTTGTAGAAACTAATGATATACTGTTAGAAATATCAAGCGTGTCCTTGATACATAATGCAATAACACTACTTGCTTACCACAACTACTAAAGCAGACCAATACAGATATACTTTATTAATGACCATGAATTGGGTTGCCATCAGTGTTGTGATTCTCCAAACAATAAACAATTTTCAAAGTTCTGAATGAAAAGTGAAATCATTTCTAGATAGTCACAAATACTAAGCACTGCATTAATGGTCTCAAATATTGGCTTTCCTGTGCCCATGCTCTTTGCCAGGAAACTTGGTAGTCCCCTCCCATCCTAATACTGGACTTGGCAGCATGACTTAAAAAGTTGTTTACAATTGTAATGCAAGCATATAAAATAGACTTAAGTTATACATGTAGATGATTGTTAACAGGTGTTTCCCATATAAAATGTCTGGAAGAACATGAAAAGCATGTGTAATGTAAGTTATTTCTGTTCAACACATTCTGAGCTACCCAATAACCATGGAATTTACCTGCTGAAGCCAGTAACACCCCCCATGTTGAAAACTCAACATGCTCCTCAGAACAATAAAACTCTCACTTAGCCGGGACCGGTGTGGCTCAGTGGATAGAGTTTCAGCCTGCGGACTGAAAGGTCCCGGGTTCGATTCTGGTCAAGGGCATGTACCTTGGTTGCGGGCACATCCCCGTTGGGGGGTGTGCAAGAGGCAGCTGGTCGGTGTTTCTCTCTCATCGACGTTTCTAACTCTCTGTCCCTCTCAATTCCTCTCTGTGTAAAATCAATAAAATATATTAAAAAAAAACAAAAAAAAAACTCTCACTTAGGGGCAGAAGATCCAAGATTGCTTCCAAAGTCAATATACTTTTAATCTTTTAACTTGATATGTGAAGTCATTCACATACAAGATGCATGATAGTGCCTTTTTAATCCAAAATTGTATGTGATTTAAGTATGGTTCTTTACATAATCAAAATATTTTTAAATAAGTCAAAATCTGTATATTTTTCTGTATGCATGTTATCATTAAGATTTAAAGGTTTAAGTATGAGAAAGAGATGATAAAGCACATGCAGTTGAAGTCTGTATTTTTATGAAGTTGTACCAACCATCCTGCACTTCATAATATTAGTCCTCACATTTTACACGTATCTTAATTTTTTAAGAATACAGATATTGCTAACATTATAAAGAATCAAGTATACCTACCCGAATATTTTGGTTCAAAGATGCCCTTAGGGACACAAGAAGGTGTGCCTGTATTCCTTAACAAGCATTTAGAAGGTCAGAATGTTTTCTAACAGTAAGAACTATTACCAATTTCCCCTTTTCTTTGTGCACTGTTTGCTCTGCCTTCAATGCCTCCTGCCAGCCTAAGTCCTACTCTCTCTCAAAAACCTGCAAAAGTGTCATGTTCTTTGTGAGAGCTTCCCAACACCCTCCTTGTCACCATATAACTTCTGAAATTCTTATTCATCTTAATTATCTAACGCCATGTTATAATATGTTACATATCTGTCTTCTTCAATACAATTAATTGTGGTGTTATGTCAGCTAAACCGATGCACACAGATCTGTAACAGCATCCACAGTACTGAGCTCAGTGACTGTCATAGTGAGGATTCCAAATGCCCTATAAATATGACTGTCTGTTTAGAATTTAAGAGTCATGAACCCATTCCAGTCATCTCTCATATTTATATTTTGTTTCTACCTTTTGACATAATGGATTGACTAAAATCAACCAGTGCCTTTCACATTTTCTAAATTCATTTTGATATTACAGTCTTAAAAAATGTTCCTTTAGAAATCCTTGCTATATGCGAGACATGGACGAATCTTGAGGACTTTTTGCTAAAATGAAATAAGTCAGTCACAAAAGGACAAATACTGTATGACTCAACTTATATGAGATCTAAAATAGTCAAACTCATAGAAGCAGAAAGCAGAGCAGTGGATGCCAGGGGCTGGGAGGGGGAATGGGGAAGTGTGTTCAATGGGTATGAAGTTCAGTCAGTAAGATGAGTGTTAGAGATCTACTGTAGCACTGTGTCTACAGTCAGTAACACTGTATTGTACACTTTAAAAATGTTTAAGAGAGATCTCACATTGTCATTACCATAACTTTCTTTTTGAGAAATCTTAATATTTTAGCACCAATCTCCACTTAAACTTATCAACTAACAAGTTTGGATATTTTTACTCATTTCCCCAGTGAATTGTTTGTTACCTTTCCGGTTCTGTTACAGTCATTAGACTTTTAATCTAAAAATACAATAATATACTTTTATTTCTGATTTAATTCTGATGTTCAAAATTTTGCATAATAGGTAACATTCTAAGAAAGTAATTTAAAATTTTCATTTCTGGGCTAATTCTAAAATTTGTACAAATAGTCCAAATTGTATTTTAACATGTAAATATATTATTCTATACTAAACTGTCATTACAAACTTTCTGTACTTTCTTCTAGCTTTAGATTTTCCTATAATGTACCTGGAACTTGATTACTCAAAATATGTTATCAGTAAAATTTGGAGACTGAAAAGTGCTCACTTCTACAAATCCATGTATTTAAAAATATTTCATATAATCTTGAATTTACACTTCTTCACTATTTTAGAACCAAAAACACATGTGCATCACAAGTAGGCAAGCAATTTTAACATATTATCATCAAGTGTTTGGAAGACAGAGTACAAAATGTTTGCATACATCTTCTGACAGTGAAATAGACGATTGAAACTAACAAAATCTTAACACTTAACTTTTTTTGTATCAAAAAAATACAACCAGAACACAAAAAAACTACTCTTTCCTTTATCGGAAATGAAAAGAGTTGCCTATAAAAGTGTGATGGTTATTAATTAATTAGGTGACTGGCTCATCCTTACTCCAGGTTATAAAATGTGCCCGCTTTCTTTGTGATTTTTTTGTAATAGTTTTTCAAAAATATTACATCACCAACTTTTACTAATGCAAAATATGGAACTAAAAACAAAAAAGCAAACAAACGGAAGGGAATTACTGGAAGCCCAATAAAGCAGAGTGGAAGGACAACACTCCTCTCCAAATATTTACACTATTGGGTCTCCCAGGACACTATGCTGTGCCCTCAGAACTACCAGCCTCCTCCCTTCCAAGCATCAGCTCAATATATATAACATTAAACATCACATAAAATGTAGTATATAGGAAGGAGGGAAGCTTCCTATATACTACATTTTATTATTATCAAACTTTTGTATAAGTATATTATCATAAACTTTTTTAAGTGAACGCTTATAAAAGTTTATGATAACACCATAAAGTTGGTTTTTTTTTAATCTTTTAAAGCAAAGACTAACAGTTACTCCAATACTAGACATCTTCTAAAATGCCTTTTGTAGTCATCATTAATGAATTTTAAATGTATGTATTTCACCTCAGGTTAAAGCAAAGTACTTAGATAGCAAACATTAATTCTAAATAAATTGAGAATATACTAAAATCCTAAATATAAAATACAAAAATAACTTTTTTTTTGACAGTGAAATTCACCATTCTAAACAACTTATTAAATCTTATTAAAATGGCTGCCAACAAAAAAGTTGAAATTGTAAAAACACTTACTTCATTTCCATGTTTTTGTAGGAATTCAATTTCCTGTTGTGTGAATGTTGTCATGGAGATAGATTTCACCCTGTGTGGTGGATTTAACCCTCGCCTAAGAGAGAAAATATTTTACACATTTACTATTATATACTAAATTTTAAAATTACACATCAATGCAAAACATACTTAGCTAGCACATTTAAACTTGGAACAATGGTTTTATTTCATAAACTAAAGTTATCTTTAAAAATTATTTTAAACTATTAATCTCCACAACAGATATGTCAAGCTAAGTTTTGCTAGACCCACACTAAATAATATACTTAGAGATAAATTCAGTGACTACCTAGCTAGAAACACAGAGTACCTGTAACACATGACTTCTAGGAAACACAAACAAACAGTGCTTTAGTGTGTTTTGATGAAGGGAGAAGATAGTATTTGTGGGAGAGCCCTATGGTAAAGAATTTTAAGAGTAATTGATTATTTAAATATTTTCATTTTTTAAAGAAAATATGATAATGTGTTATGTATGGAGCTACACAAATACTCTAATCAAATAGCTATATCTTTAAATGTGAGGCTAATTTTGAAAATTAAACTAACCTAAGGAAGCAAAGTTATTAACTATAAGAATAAAGTTCTATCTCTTCATCAATTCAAGTGAGGTTTGATAATAAGGGACATTATCAATCACCTAATGAGGCAGTAAGTGTTCAAGAGAAAACAGTAGGGCCCTGGAGAAGGGAATCAAAAAAAAAAAAAAAAAAAAAAAAAATAGGTAGATACATGATTAAATGATTTTTAAGATTTTTTTTTTTTACAATCTTGATCTTTTCTGTACAGCCGGCCATAATAAGATATTTCTTGAGTTTCTTGATGTTTTATCACACACATAAAAAAGTAAACAGAAATGTGCTCCGAGAGAATAAGATTTACATTTTGTCCAAATATCACAAAGTGGCTACTCCATCCAGAAGAATAAGGGTCAAATAATCTCTGCAAACTAACAAAGTAATTTATACAAATTTGGAATCCAGGTTATAGAGCAGATTATCAATATTCTTACAGAATAGTCATCTTGAAATCGTCCATGCTAACTGAAATTTAACAATGTTGTAAAATTATGGACCAAAAATATTCTGGAAACACTTTTGAGTAATTATATATGGTATGTAAAGTTATTTTAAATCAAAACAACAAGGAGAATTCATACGTAACAAAGCCCCTCAACCTTCATATCCTGCTCCTTCTTTCTCTCCCTCTAACTTTCAGAAATAGTTGGCACACTCTATTATACTTTTTATCTGCTTCACATTTCAGTAGAGAATTCTGTGTTGAGTTAGGTTTGGTTTAAATTTTAAACATTTTCCTTCTAGCTCTTGGTAAGTCATACAACAGAAATGGAGATTGCATAGCAGAAGAAACTGATCACAAATTTCATCCTAGTAAAACTTTCAACCTTAACTAAAAGAAACAACTACAGTATGAATTAATTTGAAGTATCTTTAAATTTTCAATAATAAATTAAAGCTTTAAAAATAAATTTCCATGTGAAAATTTACAAAATTATTCTTCATTTAAAGCATGATACTTTTTTCCACCTCATCCTCATCATGAGAACTAAACTAAATTCACCATTTTTAGGGACACCTGTTCATCTATGATATGTATTTACACCTACCTAGCTCCGAAACAATGTAAGGAGAACTTATTATTGTTTTCTCAAATTCCACTACTCCCTCCATCCTCACGTAGCCACTTGTCTTTCCTTGTTCCCTAATACCTCCTTCCTTTTTCCAGTAAACCCTTTACCATTCCACTCCCCTTAAAGTAGCCTTTTTAAAAACAGAGAAAGCAAATGAGTGACCTTTTAATGAAAATATGTCAAACAATGTTACAAGGGTTTATATTTTGGAGAGAAATCTTAGAGCAAAGAATAATACCCCTATATACTTCTAAAAATGTTAGATGAGGAAATCCTTGATTCTTTTTAAATTACTTATACAGCTGTGATAGCATCAAACCAGTACAATGTATATAGCTTATTCATTCATGTATCTCGAGTCCCTAGCATATCACAAGGTTTATTTATGCTTAAAGAAGGTATTCATTACTGCTCTGGCTGGGTTGCTCACTGGTTGGAGCGTGTCCCCTACAGCAAAAGGTTACAGGTCTGATTCACAGTCAGGGCACATACGTAGATTGCAGGTTCAATCCCTTGTCGGAGTGATGTTTCTCCCCTTTCCCCCGCTCCTCCATTCCTTTCTCTAAAAATCAATAAATATATTCTCAGGGGAGGTTTAAAAAAAATCTGTGATCACCCAAAAATCTGTACATAAATATTTGTACCAGTATATTCATATACATTAAAAAATGGAAACAACTCAATTGTCCCTTAAATGGGAAATACACAAGCAATGGACTACTACTCAGCAATAAGGAGAAATGAAAACTATTGGAATCCATTAATAACTAACCTGGATTAATCTTAAAGATACTATGGACCTATTGAGTATTATGCTAAGCAAAATAAGACTATTAGAGAATGACAAATAGGATCTCATTAATATGTGGAATCTAATGAACAAAATACCTTGGCAAACAAAATGGAATCAGGTATGGATACATGGAACAGACTGGCTGATGCCTGAGGGGGGGAGGGATTATTAGTTGGGGTTGTGACTTAATAAAGAAGGTGCAGGGATTCACTAAAGAACGTATATACGTATCCCATGGACAGGGACAACAGTGTGGTGAAGGCCAAGGGAGGGGGAGGTGAGGGTGGGTGGAGGTACAAGTAGACAAAGAGGGGAGAGGGGGACATCTGCAATAATGTCAGCTTTAAAATTAAAGGTACTGCCGAGACCGGTTTGGTTCAATGGATAGAGCGTTGGCTTGGGAACTGAAGGGTCCCGGGTTCGATTCCGGTTAAGGGCATGTACCTCGGTTGCGGACATATCCCCGGTAGGGGGTGTGCAAGAGGCAGCTGATCGATGACTCTCTCTCTCATCGATGTTTCTAATTCTCTATCTCTCTCCCTTCCTCTCTGTACAAAATCAATAAAAATATATTTTAAAAAAAATTAAAGGTACTATACTAAGTGAAAAAGGCAATCTGAAATCATACAGGCTATATATACTGTATGATTCCATTTGCATGACATTCTCAGCAAGAAAAACTACAGTGTTGGAGAACAGATCAGTAATTGCCAGGGACGAAGGAAAGACAAGATTTAAGACAATCCTTGAGAGATGATGGAGCATTGCCATGTTCTGACCATGGTGGAGGTTACATAAACCTATTCCCCTTTGTTAAAACTCACAGAACAATACAACAACAAAAAAGTTAATTTTACTGTATGGTAACTTAAAAAATAAAACACTGTAGTCCTAATTCCATATTAGTATCTATAGTGACCAAAATTTTTAGAGTAATTAAAATATTTTTTCCTCATTAACAGAACATCTCCACCTACAAGATATCATTAATGAACAAAATCTTTAACTGATCAAAAATTAATTTTTATTTATCTAATTATTTTTAAGGTGTATTCCTGGAAGCTAATGCTACTTTTCTTTTTCTCTAACTTTGTCTGGCTATCATATGAATTCAGTGCTTGTAAAACATTTTACTGTAATGACATTAGTCATAACTATTGAGTAAGTGTTGAGCAAGTATACCACATCATTTTTACAGTGCCACTATTGAGGTACTACCCATTTTGAATCCTAAAAAAACACATTTTAAGTCTCCAGTTTAATTTAAATAATGACTCATTTAATAACAGCAGTATTGATATTTTGAAAGATACTTGCCAGTTAATTGGTTTCAAGACCTTCCAAACTCACCTACTGGCAGGTTCCAATATGTTTTTACAGTATAATTAAGTCATATGCAGATCCCCAGGAGTTGGGAGTTTAAATGACCACCACCCAGGTATCACTGCAACCAGATGGTGTGACTCATTCCATATGTTCACCAGTATGCTGCTCTTAACTATGCTTCAAACAATCTTGCTAATACCCATTTGTTCATCTCAAATAACAATGTGTGCTGGATGAATAAGTAAGAAAGCTTATTTAGTTAATGTTATTGTTTTTTCCCTGCTGAGGGAGAAGCTGGTAAAATACTGCCAATAGGCTATGGAAATTTATGGGGTTGCTATTGTTGGCATAGGGTAATAAAGTTAACTTGACATTTAAATCTATTCCAATACTACCGTGTTTCCCTGAAAATAAGATATCCCCCGAAAATAAGACCTAGTGCATGGAAAGATAAGACATCCCCTGAAAATAAGACCTAGCACAACTTTAGGAGAAAAAATTAATATAAGACACTGTCTTATTTTCGAGGAAACAGGGTAGTTATTTAATATCATCCAGAACCCAATTTTAAAACACTGAAAATACATAAACACACACACACACACACACACACACACACACACACGTCGTAAAACACAGTTATTGTTTTTCAGAAAATCACAAATATCACACTGTAACATACTTTTAACACTTTAGCAAGCATCTAGAAAATAATACTCAAGTAACAACTTAAGATATTCCAATAAAGAGTAGATAAAACTCAAGAATGTCTTTACTAACTCTCTAAACCCCTCTGAAATAGCAGCAAAGGCATAAAATGCGTTAACCGAGAAAGAGACGGGAAAGAGAACAAGGGAGGAGCCCCAAAGCACAGTATTGCTCTTGAATAACAAAATTTGGAAGATAAAATGTTAGTATACAAGCAGTAACTGACTACAGAGTAAACTAAAAATGGAAGCTCCTGCAGAGGTGGGAGAAGCTAGCTAGAAGTTGACTCCCACCACAGAACCCTTGAAAGATTACCAAATGAATCAGACAAAGGTTGGGGGTTTGGAGGGTCAAAAATAGAAAGAGGAAACAGACAACAGTCTAACATCACTTTCTGTAGTAATTAAGAAATGGAAGAAGGTAATAGATGTCTATTGTTATTCATTATATGCTTTCCTAATTTTAAATTATATACATGTATTCTTTTGATAGAAATAAAAATTGAATTAAAAGTTAAACAAAAGAGAATCCAAGATGGCTGCCCAGGTAAACACCTAGCCGCAGACGCACACAACAA